AGCACAATAGGCTTTAACGAAAGGACAACATTAATTGCTAAAGAGTGTATAGTTGCAGAACAGCCATTAAAAAAAAGTCTGGTCAAATAAAACGACCGCAAGAATTACTCCAAGAATTACACAGAGCCAGGATCTCAAAATTCAAAATTTTACTTCAAGAAAGATTTGGGGGGCAGCTTCTAGAGTGTAAGGGGGTGTGTAGGCGTGTGTGAGGGAGAGTCTCAGCTGTCCAATCCTGACTCCAGCCTGGAGGGAGGTTACATTGTAGAACGACGACGATCAAAGCCCATGTGGAGCCCACAGCCGGCTTTACCGCTGGCACCCCCCCACCAAGTCCTCTATGACATCATCACATGAAATACGACCAACAACGTCAGGGTTGATACTCATTACAGCCAGACTGCTGAGGCGTTCCTGACACATTGTAGACCTTAGGTAGGTTTTGATGAGCTTTGATTTTGAAAAGCTCTCTACTGAAGCTACTGTAACTGGTAGAGTCAATGCAATCCGGAGAGCAACCCACAGGTTTGGGTAAATTTCAGAGAGCTGCTTTGCTTGTATGAATTTCAGCAACTCCAGAGCCATGAAGGTCTGTGATGGCAAGTCAGGTAGGTCTCGCAGCTCCTGAGCAAGCTCCCTTCCATCCAAATCAGACTGTCCTCCACAGCTCAAAGCATGCCCAAGCGCCTCTGCTTGCTCTATCAGATCTTGGTGAGGTAGGCTTTGGAAGTTGGACAGAATACCAAACTTGTTTTCAACATCCCCAAGAGTCTGGAATCTCTCCTTCACAGCAAAGATGGCAGAATCAACAACCATGTTAAAGAAGTTCACCTCAAGATTCTTAAGGGCATCATGTTCTGGCTCATCAGGAGACTCGTAGGAAGACAGCCTGTCTGTAGACCTCAGCCTCTTTAGTGTAAGGACTTCCTCCACATTCATTTCTTCACACATGTCCTTGGCTGAGCTTTGTGCAGCCACAAAGCCCGTGGCTCTATAGTTCTGCAGAGCAACTTCAGCATGGTTCAGCAGATTGACAGCTACACTCACCTGCATTGTTTCAGACTGCAGGACTTTGTTCAAATGTTGTATCTCATTCAAGATGTCATACCAGATAACTGTGCAAAGCAAAAAGCGGAACGAGCCCACCTCCTCTGCCAGGAACTGGGCCTCGACCTTTATGACTGGGTCTTTGGTCTGGCCTCTCACCTCAAGCAGTGCCTCTCTCACACCCGACATTTCATATCGGAGAGGTTTCAAAGCCTCCACTCGGTTCTCCCATCTTGTCTCAGACCACATTTTGAGAGTAATGGTCACATGTTTTGCAAGGATGGCCCATCTCTGCGTAGAGGCAGAAAACAGTGAATAGAGCTTCTGCAAGACTCCCAAAAATCCCATGGCATCGTTTGAGCTTTTTGCAGCATCAGCAACAACCAGGTTAAGGGTATGAGCCCCACAGGGAACAAAAAATGCTCTTGGATTTTTCTGCAGTAGCGTGGCCTGAACTCCTTGGCTTTTCCCCCTCATGTTGGCGCCATTGTCATAAGACTGTCCTCTGCAGTCATCAAAGGAAATCTGCCAATCATCCAGCCTCTGCAAAATTAAGGTGGCCAAACTCTGCCCAGTGAACTCGTCTGCCTCCAGGAAGCCCATGAAGTGCTCTTTGACCTGAGGGTCTTCTCCCAGTGTCACAATTCTGATTAACACTGATAGATGTTCTGTATGGTTGACATCTGGGGTGCAGCCCAAAATGAGAGAGAAGTACTTTGACTGCTTTATCTCCTGAACCACTGTTGCTAAAACTTTTGCACCAATGCACTCAACGAGCTCATTTTGAATGTGTTTGCCCAAGTAGCTCAGGTGTGAATACTCGCTTTTAACCCTATGGACGTGGTCTTTCATTATAGGATCAAATTGTGCTAGAAGCTCTACCTCTTTCAAAAAGTTTCCATTTGAAGGACAATAGAGTTTCTCCGTGTCTCCTCTTAGTGCCATATTCCTAACTGCTAGTGATTGTACAATGGCAATTAGCCGTGCCAGCACTGCTCTCCACCGCTTCTCATCATCAAGGACGGTCATCTCTTGTTTGTCAACAGCTTCAGCTGCCTTGAGCCGCAACTCAAATTCTTTCCATGATGCCAAGTGCCTTAGATGATCAGGACTACGGTCATGCGAATTCAACAGAGTTGTTGCATTTTTCCAATCCGTCAGGCCTCCATTTATTAAATGAATGGTCTTGGTAGAGAAAAGTTTACAACAGAAACAAAAAAGACTGTTGTTTTTGTAGGAGTATATCAACCAGTTTCTTTTGACCTTCTCACAATTTTTTAAGGTTCTGAAGAAGTACAGGTGTTGGCAACTTCTCGCACCATCTCTCTTTGGAAACACAAAATCAGGGGGTACCTGATACGGTCCTCTCAGCACTAATTCTGTCCTCACAGTGTCATTCAGAGGTGAAGGCCAGTCAGCAGGATCCGCTGGACACGGTTCATCTGTTTGCATCTCAACAGGGAAGGCAGAGGAGGAAATCTCTGGTGCTTCTGCAGGGCATATAAATATTTATTCTCCACAAGAACACATGACAGAAAAAGATATAGTTGACTGATGTGTTGGTCCTTCAAATGATAAGTATTCAAAACATACATATACAGGGGTTGGACAATGAAGTTGAAACATCTGGTCAATAGTGTTTGAGGTTTCACACCTATATCTGCACGGCCTGGTGGTCAGTCTTCATGCATTACTAATTCCATCAGTAAGAACAGAGTGTGAAGGTGGAATTAGCAGAGCAATAGCTCAACTGTACATAAAACATTGCAATACGCACAACATATATACATATTTTGTCAAACAGAGCTGCTGTAATGCAAGAAAAATTCCAGCCTCATGTCTGACAATAACATATCATATATAATTAGAGACATGTCAGAGTTGAAAAGAGGACAAATTGGTCGTGCACATCTTGCTGGTATATCTGTGACCAAGACTGCAAGGCTTTCTGGTGTATTGAGAGCCACAGTATCCATGGCAATGTCAGCAGACCACCACGAAGTACAGACCACATTGAACAGGAGTAGATGTAGATGCAAGAGAAAGCTGTCTGAAGGGATATCCGAGGCACTAACCCGGATTGTATCCAAAAACATAAAACCACAACTGCCCAACTCATTGCAGATCAATTCATTCAACTGCGAACATGCAATACTGCAGTCACTTTCTCAAAACTCACAGTCCACAATACCAACACGCAGCTTGGCCAAACAGTGAATCTCTCCTCCAAAATGCAGTACAGCCACAAACAGTTAATCCATGCTTCAAAAGAGACTCATACCAACATAGTGGTGTGTTTTGAGTGAGAAAGGAATCCAGGCATTTTGAAGCATTTAAATGACTGAATGCATTGAGTAAGCAGTGAGTAATAATTCACAGTTTAGCCCACATACACTGATGTTACGGCAACTGTGTGTAAAGTTTTGAGAAAGTGATTTCAGTTTTACAGAGTGCATCATAGCAATTGAAGAAGAAAAAAAAAAAAACTGTAAATGCACACCCCAACTCTCCTGTTTCCAACAAAACTGTTCATTGGGTCTCCACAGGGTCAGTATTCATGGTCGGGCTGCTACAGCCAAACCTTTGGTCGCTCGTGCCAAACATTGGTGTCAATGGTGCCAGCAGCTCAAATCGTGGGCTATGGACAATATGAAACATGTTCTGTTGTATGATGAGTCTACATTCACTGTTTCACTGTCACCAGATCTGAATATTATCGAAACACTTTGGGGTGTTTTGGGGGAGTGAGTCAGGAATTGTTTTCCTCCACCAGTCTCACACAGTGACCTGGCCACTGTTCTGCAAGAGCAACGGCTCAAAATGAAATGGCTGTTGTGTGGGACTTGAATCTGTCAGTCCCAAGACCAACTCGAGCTGTATGGGCCACAAATGGAGGCCCCACACCACACTAATGACATTAAAACCAGGGGTTTCAGCTTCATTGTTCAATCCCTGTACATCCATTGACTGGATTCCACGTTATATACAGTATTTTTATTTACCATCCAGAATGTTCCAGTTGAAATGTTGCTCACCTGAACAAACAAGGACACCTGAGGAAGACGTGCTCGGAACTTCATCAGCTGTTGAGCTTGACACCAGATATTTTAGAATGGCCTCTGGAATTATATAAATGACAGCTAAGTTTCAACTGTTTCATTTCATTATAATATTGAAAACCCATGACAGTGGTTAGGAAATGATGATGGATTCATGTAAAATTATTTAAAATCAAATAAACTGCATAACAGCCATTACACACATACACTCTACATCAAAAGTATCAAGGATATGAACACAATCAAACCATAGGGCTTATTCCCTATTGACTAATATGATAGAAGGATTAATTCATTATGATATTACAGTAACTTCAGGCTGAATCAATGGGTGATCTTTCCCTTAAAGCATTTCTGACCACTACAGAGCTGACATCTATGATGTCCAGAGAGCACTGCTACCCCAGCAGGGCTACACACTTCACTAAGGAAAAATGACACATACAAGCAAGCAGGCGGGCAGGCAGGCAGGCAGCAAACGGCCTTCATGGGCACCTGGCACATCCATCGTCAAGCGTAAGCAGGTTTTTTTGGTTTACATTTGTGCCATCAATAGTGATGCAGCAATAAAAACAAAAAAATGAATAAACGACAGAATGTTCCTACCTCTCTTACGCCTCTCCTCTTCCTCCTTTCTCCTTTTACGGTACTGAGCTCCCGATGGCTTTTTCCTCTTCATTTTGGAATAATCGTCTTGTTGCCACTCAAAATAAAATGAAGCTTAAATTTGACATTTGTACAAGTATGAGAACAAGTACACCGTATAGTGCTACGTGTCACAATTTGCTGCCTGTTTTAAAAACATATGAACATATATTGACGTGAGAGAGAAATCTGGGATCTGAGCGCAGGTTCAGCCATTAATCCAGGGTCCCTGGAGCGTTTTGGGGGGGGTTAAGGGCCTTGCCCGAGGGCCCGACAGAGATGTGGCCGCTCTGCCAAACACAAAGGGGACAGATCACTTGCCATGTCACACTCTGCCAACCTATCAGCAGCCTTGACACTGTCCCCGTTTCCCCCAAATCGCATCACTGTTCTGTGCCAACGTTGCACAGGGTGCCAGTGCTTCAAAGGGCACAAGGAGCATGTAGTGCATCGTGTGCATTGTGCCCCATCCGTGAAAGTGGCTGGCTAAGTCGGTGCCCCCTCAGAAGATGGCACCCTCGATGGCCACCTATGCTGCCCAATGGGTTGACTGGCACTAATGCAGCAAAGTCCAGTTGTGCATCAAGCCAGAAACCAAAACAGAATGGTGGAAAAATATACCTGCAGTTACAACCAATGACCAGCAGAGGGCAAAGAAACACAAGGCCACTATACCACCAGCGTTCTGTCCCTGATATTTCCATGCATCTTCTAACCACAAACACTGGTCAGGGTGACACGGCACGTGGAGCCTGCCCCAGACAGCATAGGGCACACTGGGATGAGATGCCAGTCAATACCCAGGGACCAATGAGATGCCAGTCAATATCCAGGGACCAGAGTATTACAAAGTAAACACAGACATCTATCATATTAAAGACCTGGATAGCAGCTCAGGCTGAGTTATACTCCAGCCATCTACAAGGCTACAGTCCGCATCACTTTATATGGATGCAGTATGAACTTGAAGGACATCTTTCATTACAAATAAAATAGTACTTATGGAAGCAAATGAAAGAGCTTATTCTTAAACGTCATGGGGAAATAAGTGTGTGTGTGTAAGCATATAGATCCATCCATCCATCCATCTTCTGCCGTTTATCCAGGGTCGGGTCACGGGGATAGCAGTCTAAGCAGAGATGCCAGACCTCCCTCTCACCAGCCACCTCCTCCAGCTCCTCCGGGGGAATATCAAGGTGTCCCCAGGCCAGCCGAGAGGTATAATCTCTCCACCGGGGGCCCGGGTCTGCACCGGGGGCCTGGGTCTGCACCGGGGCCTGAAACACCTCTCTAGGGAGCCGTCCAGGAGGCATCATAGATAGATGGCCAAACCACCTCAGCTGGCTCTTTTCCATGCGGAGGAGTAGCGGCTCTACTTCAGGCCCCTCCTGAATGTCCGAGCTCCTCACCCTAAGGCTGGGTCTAGACACCCTGCGGAGGAAACTCATTTCTGCCGCTTCTATCCGCGATCTCATTCTCCGCCCGGCCGGGCACAACCACCTGCAGGGGGAGCCGTGGGGGTGGGGTGCAGTGTAGGTCAGGTGGGTGATCGGGCTGTGACCTGCACAATGCACTGGTTTGCGAGTCTCCATTTGAAGGACAAGAGGGGAGACAAGGAAAAACCTGCAAGTGCCATATTCCTAACTGCTGGGGACTGTACAGTGGCAGTTAGCCATGCCAGCACTGCTATCCACTGCTTCACTGGAAAGGTGCCCTTACGTCACACAGCTGATGGTGACACACTGGAAAGGTGCCCTTACGTCACACAGCTGATGGTGACACACTGGAAAGGTGCCCTTACGTCACACAGCTGATGGTGACATTGCAGGTTTCCAATACAGCTGTGGTTTAAATACTTCTCACAAACAGAGAGACACTTTGGTAGCTGTGTATAACCCAGTGGTTCTCAAACTATTTCTGTCATGCCCCCCTTTGGAAGCAGGTGACGTTTCATTGCCCCTCCATGTGCCCAACCTCCCCATACAACTTTCTGGATCAGTCATTTATTTTATATATATTTCCATGTTTTACTTCATTTTTGTTCAGCTGTCTGGAAGAAAAAAAACGAACAGAAAACCAGGCGGTACCTGATACGGTCCTCTGCCCACTATGACTGTCCTCACAGTGTCACCCAGATATGAAGGCCAGTCAGCAGGATCAGCAGCACTTGGTTCATCTGTTTTCACCTCAACAGGCAGCACAGGGGAGGATGTCTCTGTTACGTCTGCAGGGCAAATAACCGTTTCACACAGAAACGCACGTCCCGATTCTTTTTATAAAGACCTTATTTGAATCTGACTGAAATATATATTAAACATGTCAGTCTCAGCAGTACTAATTAAACAGCAAAGAGGACAAGGAGTCGTGCGATTGTTTTACTGTATCCACACACCTGAGTAAACCGGCAGGGTGGAATCGGTGGTCAGTCTCGTGTTCCCATCAGCAGAATAAGATGCAGCCGGCCGATGCATCATTTCGTCAAGCGATTCTATCAATATGCAAAACATATACATTCACTGACTGTACTGCGCGTTACATACAGTATTTTCATTTACATTATTTACCGTTTAGAACATAGGATCTCAAACTTTTTGGGCAAAAGTCCGCATCAGATTTTCATTCAGAGTCAGAGGGTCCTGAACAATTTTCAGCAACTAAACAGCATTTCATAAACTCTGACAAATTATGAATTAACAGTTACCTCATAGACATCGCCATACAACAGAAATGGAAACTTTAATGCTTGCTGATCATTTGGACCCCTTGGAATGGGAAGGGGGATATGATAAGTTATGTGTGTGCGAGATTTGGTAGTTCTGTATTGTATTTCTGTACTGCATATCACATTAACCGTTTTTAAGCCTAACCATACTGATTTACAAGGTGCGTCATCAGCTAGATCTGGATTAACTTGAGGTTCGGTCCACATCTGACTACAATCCGGACTTTGAGAGCTCCTGGTCTAGAATGTCCCAAATGAAATGTTGTTCACCTGAACAAACAGGAACACCTGAGGAAGACGTGCTCGGAACTTCATCGGCTGTTGAGCTTGACTCTAGATATTTTAGAATGGCTTCTGAAATTGTATAAATGACAGTGCTATAAAACACGCCTAAGCAGTTGCTCCATTACCTTTTGTTATAATATTACTGACCTTGGTTAACAGACAATGATGACGACTGATTTATTTGATTAACATAATGTTACACAAATAACTGCAGAGCAACCATTACACACAATACAAACATTCAGGCCATGAGCCGTATCCCCTGCACACTGGCGTTCAGGCATGCCTAAGCAGTGACGTTAAGTAAAGAAGCAGGCAACAAACAGCCTACAGCAGTAGATTATCTAATGTGAGCAGCTTATTTGGCTAAACACTGATGCTACCAATAGCGAAGCGACAATAAAGCAAAAGTTACGAAATGACAGAATGCAGCTACCTCTCCTACGCCTCTCCTCTTCCTCCTTCCTCCTTTTCCGGTACTGAGCCCCCGACGGCTTTTTCCGCTTCGCTTTGGGATACTGTTCTTCTTGTTGACACTCAAAATGAAATGATTTGTACAAGAATGAGAATCGGTGAAGTGAAACGTGAATTTTCACGTATTCCGTCTTGTTCTCCTTTTTAAAGACATACACACACGTACAGAGAGCAAAGCCTGGGTTCTTAGCGCACGTCGTCCATCCAGTGCCCCGGCAGCGTTTTTGTAAAGGGTCTTTTGTAAAATATTACAAATAATACATCTGAAACATGCTTTGAAGCCATAAGAGCTTCAGCAATTCATTGATCACATTAAGTATAACTGATTTTTGAGAGAGCAGTAGGAGCAAAGATATTGAAAAGAACTACATTTCTATACTATGTATGTGGATTTTAAAATCAATTTTTGACTATATAAGTGATTAACAGCCAGGCTGTGATGGACAAAGTGAAAGCGTCTGGCCAAGTCAGCGCCGTGCTGGTGTTCTGATTGTCTGGTTGTTAAAACATGCCACCGTAGTGTGAACCCTCAGCTATGTCTATCGATCAGTGCTACCTCATCGAACAGTGCTCTCGCTCTGAACGAGGGTAGACAAAAAGCACGAAAATATACAGGGAGTGCTGCATATATAATAATAAAATAATAATAATAATAATAATAATGCGCTTCTTAACCATAAGTTCACTGCTGCGCTTCAGCTAATATTCTGTTTTCAGGTGCGCATTCTCTCTAACATTACAAATAACACTGAAGTTGTCATTGGCAGTCTATGTTTTATATATATGCTTGTATGTATAATGAGTCAACATGCTGTTTTAGAAAATCTGTACAACGGAAACCCGAAACCCACCGTGGAAACGGCATTAAACTGAGCCTCGAGTGAAGAGGGATTGCTGTATAATTTTATTATTGCAGTTCAGCATATGCTTCTTAACCTTTTGTATAAAGCAAATATAAATTGAATTTATAATGAAAGCAAGTGGAACATTCCATTAATGATGGCCATTATCAAAGGTATAATCATTGTACTCTTATACGTGAGCAGTGTTGCCGAGGAATGGAGCTGAACGAAGCGGTGAGATGCCGCCTAACATGCAAACCTCTGGCGATGCTCTTATTCGGTTATTTATAATGAATTATTATTAAATGTCATGCATATTTACATTCTAACAAACATAATCTGAATAGTCAACTTTTTTTTTTTGTATTTAAACGACTGCCCAACATTTAAATTATAAATACCATTATTCAGCACACACCTGAGGGAAGCAGAATTCAATTGATGCCTTATCAAAACCTGCTCCCAGTACATGCAAACTCCAGATTGGGCCACTTCCGACCCCATTTGCAATGTAATACTACAGGTTGCACTTAAAAAGCAGTTGGCCGCAGTGAGGATATATTGAAATCCATCAACTTTTTGGAAAAGCTCCTGTCAAGTCAATGCCAATGACTTCCCAGACAGCAGACACCTACCATAATTATTTTTTTAAAGCATTTAATATATGTTATATAACATTTAATACTGTCATATCTGTTGTGTAACATCAAGATACTACTGTACACATTTACCGTAATACACTGTGATGGCTGTGGAGCTGTCAGAGGCTTCTGGCATTTACCACACTCCAGGACCTACAAGAAATCCACTGTTAACATGTATACAGTTTTTACAGCTACAGCAAAGCAGAAAAACAAGTCGCCCACATACCCAGTTGTCCACATCAACGGTCATGCCATGCCAGTAAAATCTGGAGCACATGGCAGAGCGTGTTTTTAGAACGCCTGTGTGCCCCCCCAGTGGAGAGGAATGAAATTCCTTGAACAGCATCCTTGCCTCTTCTTTGGTTCTAATAGCTCTTCTGGTTCCAAAGAAGAGCTGTCCTTCTGCGTTGAACATTAAGAGCTACAGTCATTAAAGAGCTATCTTACCAAAACACTACAACTGATAGTACTTCAGATACTCACCCTGTAGTGTGAATTTGGAGGCGTACCTCCTAAGACTTAATCTCTGGGACTTATCATACCCTGGTGGGTACGCTCCCACAGACAGGAAGGTGAATAGCTCTTCCCACTTGTTCTCCATACCTACAGATGGCACACACCGTAGTCAGATAACTTTTCCATTATACAGCAAAACTAGTTCACATGCAAAGCGCCGTTTCAGCTAACTTCTGTGTTCTGCAGCAAACCAAGTGAGCCCATGCGAATAATAACGCATTTAAAAGTCGAAATGAACATTTGACTTTTTTTTCTGGTGTTTTGTCGAACCATGCAACCTATCAAGACGTGCTCTAGACCTGTTCTGCAAATGCACAGTAAAGATTTCACCTTGTACATCACCGTACTCATCAATCTTTGCAACCTATACATTTCGCCTTATACATCCCCATACCTGTTGATCGGTGCAACCTTAAAAGGAACCTAAACGTTGGCTGCGAGTAAATGTCATAACATGAAAATCTGAAATGTTAATTTTGACAATTAAATGTATACATATTTGAATGTGCATACTTCTGCAGAACGCAGAATTTAGCTGAAATGGTGTGCTTTGCATATGAAAACTTCCATGTAACGCAAGTTATCTGAAACAGCATGCTTTGCATAAAAGGTAATACCATGAAAATCTGAAATTTTGACTTTGAAGAGAGTAAATATTTGCTTGTGCACCCTTGTTTTGGTGAATATCTGGAGTGCAATCAATTGTGGTGTTTTGATGAGAGAGCCCTTTAATGTATCTCCTGGTGTCCAACGCAGAAGGACAGCTTCTTTATGCAGAACAGCCATTAGATCCAAAGAACAGGGAAGGATGCTGTTCAGGGCATTTCATTCCCCTCCACTGGGGGGGCACGCGGCCATCCTAAAAACACGCTCTGCCACGTGCTCCAGATTTTACTGGCATGGCTTGACCGTTGATGTGGACAACTGGGTATGTGGCCGACTTGTTTTTCTGTATTGAATTTGCTATAGCTGTAAAAACTACATACATGTTAACAGTGGATTTCTTGTAGGTCCTGGAGTGGAGTGTGATAAATGCCAGAAGCCTCTGACAGCTCCACAGCCATCACAGTGTATTAAGGTAAATGTCTACAGTAGTATCTTGATATTACAACAGATATATAACATTTTAATACTGTCATAACAGCTATGAAATGCTTTTAAAAAATAAAACATTTGTTTGATCACGATAGGTGTCTGCTGTCTGGGATCTCACTGGCATTGACTTCACAGGAGCTCTTCCAAAAACTGCTGGATTCCAGTATATCCTCACTGCTACAGATTACTGTTCTAAGTGGGTTTAGGTTTTCCCACTAAAACCTGAAGCTGCAGCTGAAGTGGGATCTATTATATATAGCCACGGGTGTCCCAAAAGAACCCTTTCTGACTAGGGCGGAGAATTTGTGAATGAAGCATGTGCACTTTCAAATTCCCATTGTTATTATAATGATCCAGGAACTCTTCTCTTGCTGCTTTGTTAGTATTTTAAAATGTCTATTTCTTTTTTTTTAAGCTTGAGCACAGGCTGTGTGACCTATTGGGTATTGAGAGGAGCGTGACAGCTGTGATCAACATACCAACGGTCTGGATGGGAAAACAAATAAGCAGCAAGTTTTATTGTTTCTGTTTTTATTCAGGGTTTAATTAGAACTTTGTGACACAGGCTTGTCCTCCCTGCTCCGAGGAGTTCGTGTAGCATTGGTTCTGCACAGTTTGTTAGAGCAAGAAATTCTGCACTATTTCTGAGAGGTTTAAATGTGTTAAGTTGCTTTTCATACTTTAAATTGTAGGGCTCTCACAAAATTAGTCAATGAGAAGAAGAACTGGCATGTCTACTTGGATGGCACATTATTTTCATTAAGATCCAGCGTCCACACAGCACAAAGCCTTCCCCGTTTCTGTTAATGTACGGGAGAGAGGCTGCCTTCCCCTCCGAGGTTCCCCTTGTCATGCCAGTGAGTTTCTGGAGTCATCTACAGACCTCGCCTTGTTTTGCTGAGCTGCTGTATCCAGCATTACTTTATCATGCTATTTAAATTTGTTTCATTTCAGCTTCCCGACAGAATTCTTCCTGAGCAGAGTACTTATGGAATATTCTCTGAAGCCAAAAAAAAAAACCAGCTATGGAGACTCTACACCTGTCGCTTCAAGAAAACAAGAGTAGTGAATCTGCCAAGACCAAAGACCAAAGAAGATGACATCACTGAGGTACAAGCAAACTCACTACGCCAGATAGCTTGCATGTCTGCCTTGCATATCATTTATTCAGGATTTACTTGATCTATTCTTCCTTGATGTAGTTTAATAATTTAGTTTCTACTTTGTGTCACTTTTGGTTACCCAGTCCCTAAAGAGCAGGCATTGGGTTTTGCATGTTGCATTGTATGACAGGCAAGTGATTTGTCATTGACCTTGAATTTAAGTCTCCACAGGATCCCTCATTGAATGTGATGCCAAGTGTACAAAAAAAAGATTGTTGTTTCAGGTTTCTTACTCTGTGATTTTGACCTGTTGATCATTTGTTTGCCCCGTTCAGGCTGTTGGCTGTTCTGGCCATGTTGCTGGTTACTGATTGGTTGCCATACTTTTGACCATACAACAATACCTGCACGGCTGCTGTTTACATTAACACTAACCTTTCAATTAACGTTATGGTCTGACGGTTTGCCCATTATCCTTTCAAGTTCATTTGTGTGTTATGAAGATGTCCCACATCAATATGTAGTTTTGGATCACGAGCCAAGTACACATACATACCTACAGTTTCTAAGTTTCATGCTTTTTTTTCTCCTCAGTTAAAATGCTCTGGGCTGCAGAAGACAATGGCCGGGCAGAAGCAGTTGTTGGACCATTCAAACTGTATGATTCTTCTTTCCGGACACTGCATGGGGCGCAGTGGCTGGCTGATGATGTAACAGACTACACTGTGTGAAATGCATCTGGTTATTGACGCAAACCTGCATCATCTCATTGAAAAGCAGCAGGCGAGTAGGAAGTATATCTGTTTTTGTTAGACGACGTTTCTTGCACTGTAATTGTCCATTCTAATTTTTAATTGTTTGAAACAGGCACCAGTTCACCACTGTTGCTTGCTGGGCAATTCCAGAGACTCGGAAAGGTTATTAACACAATTACCAACTATGCGTATCAGTTATAAAAATCAATAATTATCACTAATTTGACTTTAATTGCCAAGATGACGTTTAACGTTGAAGACATTTAGCTGTGCCCCGTAAACACTAATTCTAATGGTACTTAATCGCAAACGAAGTTTAGTTGCCTTTTCTTGCTTGTTATAGTGCAGTATCAATTACGGCAGTTACATATTTACATATATTTTGTACACAGATGATTCACTTGACCTCTGACAGGGCGGGTGGAGTGGTGGCGCTGAGGTGAGGGTGAATGCTGGGAGAGATTCTACTCCGTTGGGCCCTTGAGCAAGGCCCCTAACCTGCCACTGCTTCATCCTGGGTATGGTGTTAATCTACACCCAGCCCTATAAGGAGATCCTCCAATTTACAGGGAATAACTTGGGGTTGGTGGCAGGATTGGCACTGCAGCCACTGGGAAAAAACTCACACTATGCTGCTCATGTACAAGAATAAAATTATACAGCAATCCCTCTTCACTCGAGGCTCAGTTTAATGTCGTTTCCACGGTGGGTTTCGGGTTTCCGTTGTACAGATTTCCAACGGTGGACTTCGTGAAGTATCGCGAAACCTTCATTTATCATTTTAGTTGCCATAGCAAACATAAAGCGATTTAAGCAGATGTTCCGAGTAACGTATCCGTCAAATCAGAAGTGTTGTGCGCTTGTCTCGGAATTATATCTTACTTCAAGATTTTTTCCCTTAAAATTGGTAAAAAAAAAAGTAGGATCCTCTGTTATTCAAATATATATATTTTCTAAAACAGCATGTTGACTCATTATACATACAAGCATACATATAAAACAGACTGCCAATGACAACTTCAGTGTTATTTGTAATGTTAGAGAGAGAATGGGCACCTGAAAACTGCTGCGCTTCACCTAATATTCTGTTAACTTACGGTTAAGAAGCGTATTATTATTATTATTATTATTATTATTTATGCAGCCCCCCGGTACATTTTAGTGCTTTTTGTCTATCCTCGTTGAGAGCGAGAGAACGCAGCCTTATGGTAGCATTGTCCGATGAGGTAGCACTGATCGATAGACATAGCTGAGGGTTCGCGCTACGGTAGCATGTTTCGACAAGGCAGCACAACTCGTCAGAACACCGGCACCCCAGAGGGCGCTAGCCGGCCAACTTCAGTTAATCCGGGGCGATTCGCGACTGCATGTGAAATAGAATAGCCAAAAATGGGCGCCCTAGGCGGCCGCCTATGTCGCCAATAGGACCGACGGGCTCTGAAGCATCGTTTGCCCATAAATAATTCGCAAGTATCCAACAAAAGAACAGAAGAAACATGCTCTTAAACAGCATAAAACTCCCGATGGGGTCATACTGGTACTTGTATGGAGTCCTTCAGTCACAGGGACCCCATGTTTTGATAGGAATTCGCCATTTTGGTTTACGAACAAACTGAAACCGTTACGAGAAACACGACAATTTCGCTTTAAAACAACTCTTTCATAATATGACTATAATATGGTTAGATGTTGTTTATAACATCTCTTTGCAGATTGTAGAACACAGAAAATTACAGTATGCATTAATTTCACAATTAAAAATGTTTACAAGTAGAACGCTCTTATACGAAGACGGAGTGGTTAAATTAAGCAGAAAGTTTAGCAGCCTAATCTTACCTCCATTTCTGCATCCGAAACAAGCGTCTTTGTCGCGATCCGAGCTGCAATCCCGGTTGATTTATAGCACGCATGTCCGCGCATGCGCTGTCTACGTTGCACTTTACGGCAATATTCAATAAGTGATATTCCCAAGGTATCTGCACTAAGCTGTGACAGTAATAATATGTTCTCACTTCTGTTGTGATATACCCTGTATGCTGTTTTTGATAAACGTGCCTGCTAAATAAATATAATGTAATGTGTATTAAACAGAAAAACAAAAATGTTTTGCATTTTACTGTACACGATCACATGAATATAAAACAAATGTCATCATTAGTCTTATCTCAGGGATACAGGCCAAGATGAGCTGCACTTAATCCCTGATGAACAATAATGTATGATGGATGCTGTCCTTGCAGTGACAAACCCAGGACATAATTTTTCATCTTTTTTGCGATCTATTCCGTCTGTGTGAAGTTTCGCTGTTGTTTAAAACGATACAGAAAGAAACTAATATGTAGTACACCACCAGAGGGCGCCCAAACACCATAAACCACTTAAAATATTTACTTTTATGAAATGTATCTAACCAAAGGATGTTTCTTGAATTGTTATAAACTTTAATTTTAACATAACATGATTATCATGATTTAATGTAGATATTATGGATATTGTCATATTTCCTGCTGAATTCCTAATGAATGCCTAATTATTTGTTGTTCTGAGGGCTGATATATCAGATATAACAAAATCAAGACACCCAAAGCACTTTAGAGACCCAACAGGGAGCCACTTCAACCACCACCACTGTGAAATGGTTATATTTACTTGATCAGTAAGTGTTTTCCTATGAGCCCATCTCTTTTTGTGTCACAAAGGCGGTGCACAATGCCCCCATGGGGGAATTCTCTTGTTCCTTGCTCCCATCATGCTCTCCTCAGACATGGTGTGGCTGGGCTTGAACCAGTGATCTTCCAATCAAAGGCACAGAGGCTTAGCCCGCTGAGCCACTTACTGCCCCTGCTGGGCTGATGGGCAGACCCCACCTGGCACTGGCAGTACACTCACAAGGTGGTGAATGGGTTGGAGAGAATTCACCAGTTAGATACAAGGGATGATAATACTTATAGTTAAAATTTAAAAAAAAAACTAAACATGGCCGAAAATTTGTTTTTAATCATTACAGATGAAGTCACGCCACATTTTGGCCAGATGAGCCACTTCCATATATGCAGATCTGTTGTGGGTTCATACTCCGTATCCAGTCTGGCTCTGGTACTGCTACCTCTGAAACATACACAGCGCAGTGTCCATTTGTCACTTGACAATGAAATTGAATTTTTTTTTTGATAGGATAGGATAAATCTTAATAAATAAACAAACAAACAAACAAACAAACAAACAAACAGGGAGAGCAGGAACACAGTGGATCGGTTCCTTCCAATGGTGTCTGATGTCACTCCTTTCAATGTGTGTATTATGAGACTCAGGCTAAGGCACTCCTTGGGTCTGAAATACCTTGTCCTGATTTCCGTCTATACATCAATGAAATCTGAAACTTCAATTAGTATTGTAGACTATGATATCCACTGTATTTCTTCTGTTGGCAGTGAATCATTAACCAGTCACTTGACTGAGAAACCACCAAAATGTGCACTGTACATCAGCAGGAGCTGAAAAAGCCTGTCTCTGGGGATGTAGGTTCTTCAAGCAGTGCAACAGCAATTGGCCCAAGTATAGCAAAGTGTTCAGGACATGTTCCGCATTCCAGGAAGGGAAGCAGGGCGTATGTTCTGGACATGTGGCCTGTAGCTTGTACTCTACAGCTCCCTGCTCGCCCTTACAGACCTGCCTGAGATGCTCAGCTTCATACTGCGAGATGCACATTAGACAGCATGCTGTAGAATCCATTGGACACTTAGAAGAAACACAGAAAACCCAGGTGTGTGTTTGTGTGTGTGTGTGTTTTTCTTACAAGACTCTGGGAAGGACTAAGGAACTGAATTATTATCCAATTTCCGTACAATATATGTTCTTAAGTCACATTGATGACTACGTCTCAGTCTAATTGTCTAGATTGCTCCATTTCCAGAGAGGCTAGACAGCAGTGAATACAGTGAATTGTATTTCTATGATTAAATGCAATTTTCCCCCAAAGATATAATCCATTGGACACAGAAACACAGAAAACCCAGGTGTAATGTAATCTGTCCAGGATTAACATTAGCATTAGACAGTGTTCAAGGTGAGGTCTGACAGGGGCATTATATCATCTTAGCATTACCTCCCGTGATTCAAACTCAACACACCTGGAGATGTAGCCCAGCTTCCTGTTTGCCATTTTAACTGCTTTCATATATTGGTGAGAGTGAGACATGGAAGCATCAAGATGCACACCCAGGTCTTTCTCTTAATCAGCTTCCTTAATTTCAGATGAACCCATGAAATACCTCCACTTTATATTTCGGCTCCCTACATGGAGTACCTTACATTGACGTTCATCTGCCATTTATCAGCCCAGTCTTTAATTAGATCGAGTTCCTGCTGTAACATCTCTGATGCTGAGAATCTGCTACACCTCCTAACTGCGTTTGGTCAGCAAATTTAACCAGTGTTCTGTATGTTAGTGTCAATATCATTTATGTAAATCAGGAATAATAATGGTCCGGAATAAAACAAGTGGGCAGATTGGTGACTCCGAGGTTTTTTTTCCCTGAAGTCTTGTTTTTATATTTAACGAAAATGTTTTTTTTCCACATTTAGTTTTTATTTTGTTAGTTTTTGTGAATAGTAATAACCCTGCCAAATCGTTACAGTCAGACTACTGGTTCAGAAACAGCAAGGCTTGTAAGGGCCTCACAATCTGCCATGGACTTCTGTAGTACAAATGGCAGATAATTTTTATGCACACTGGAGTAATTTATAATGCAACTGGCACACGGGCAAACTCAGTAACAGCTTCTACATTCAGGCAGTAAGGTGACTCCACAGCTAATCAGGCTACTAGTATGGGCAATTTGCCAATTTCTATTTTCATTTTGCTATTTTAAAAAAAAACTTATCATCCATTAGGGAGCTCACAGGGAAATTCATTTGATAAACTTTTTAAAATTTCCCCTGAACACATACTAACAGAGAGTGAGTGGCAGGGAAGGTGACGCTGCTTGGTTTCTGGCCTCGAGCTCCCCAAGCGACCTCCTTGTATATTGTTTTGGATCTCTTGGGTAGCATCATGCTTCAGGTTGGAGACTTGAACCGGCAGTCGTCGTGCTACAAGTCCCAGAAGAGTTCTGCTGTCAGCCGTTATCAGCCAGGGGACAGGATGACAATACTGCCTGATGTTTTACTTTGAGAACACACAACAGGCAGACTGGTTACATACTGAAACTTGAAACCTCACTCAAGCATTAATGTTAGCATCCAGCCCCATGAGCACCAGGGTGACCCGTTTCACATCACCATCTGGTGTCAGCATCCAGCCCCATGAGCACCAGGGTGACCCGTTTCACATCACCATCTGGTGTCAGCATCCAGCCCCATGAGCACCAGGGTGGCCTGTTTCACATCACCATCTGGCCTCACCATCCAGCCCCATGAGCACCAGGGTGGCCCGTTTCACATCACCATCTGGTGTCAGCATCCAGCCCCATGAGCACCAGGGTGGCCTGTTTCACATCACCATCTGGCCTCAC